CAGTACAGCGCTTTGTGGTCCCACAGGGGGCTCCATCGAAGGCCCCAGTGGCGGTGGTCGCGTGCGCCTCCCCCGCTCCGTACAGCTTTTCGTGGCCCCACAGGGAGCCCCACCGGAGGCCCCAGTGGCGGTGTTCGCACGGCCGCCCCGCTCCATCTCGGCACACTCCTCGCACGCTTCGTGGCCCCATATGGAGCGCTGCCAGGGGCCCCAAGGGCTGCGCCCGCATGCGTCCCCGCCCTATCTCGGCACACCCGTTACACGCTTCATCGCCCCTGCGAAAACATCCACCGACGGCGATCCCAAACGGCGATGCGCACAACTGCATATGGTTGGGCCCTTCGCCCGGAGAATTACCGTACAGGATGCGCTCAGGTTATTGCTCTCTCGACAAGCCCAAACGTTTTCTGAACTATTATATCCAGCTGCCTGCGGCAGGTCCCGCCAGTAAGCGAGCCCAACATTCTGGGTGGCGACTGTTCGAGAGGGCACGGGTGGCCGTCACGAGTGACGCCTCGTGTCTCTAAGGATGATGAGGATTACGAGAATGATAGGGGTGTTAACGATGATTACGATGATGCTGATGATGACGATGATGATGCTGCTGATTATGATGATGGTCCTCAAGATGATGATGTTGATGATGATGATGCTGCGTCTGATGATGCTGATGATTATTGTGATGGTGGTGACGAACACGATGATGATGGTAATAATGGTGGTGAGGGTGATAATGATGTTGATGATTGGGACGATGATGCTGATGCTGATGATAATTGTGCTTGCGATGGTGATGATGATGGTGATGGTGATGCAGATCGCGGTTATGATTATGATGCTGATGATGCCAATGATGATGCGTATGTCGATGATGCTGATGATGATGTGGATGAAGAAGACGATAACGATACTTATTGTGTTGATGGTGATGTTAATATTGATGTTGATGTTAACTGTGCTGAGGCTGACGGTGCTGAGGAGGATGACGCCGACGATAAGTATGTCGATGATGCTGATGATGATGTGCTGCTGATGATGCAGTTGTTGATGCTAATTGTGACTAGGCTTATGATGATGGTGATTAGGATGGTGATGAAGATGCGGATGCTGCTGATGATGATGGTGGCGATGGTGGTGATTGTTATGACGATGCTGATGATGGTGATGATGATGACGATGACGATGAGCGTGCTCAAGATGATGATGATGCTGATGATGATGCTGGTGATGATGCTGCGTCTGATGAGGATGATGCTGATGAGTGTGATGATGATGACGAAGGCGATGATGATGCTGATGATGATGATCATGGTGGTAATGATGATGGTGGTGAGGGTGATGATGCTGTTGTTGGTTGTGATGATGATGCTGCTGATGAGTATGATGATGGTGATTGTGATGGTGATGATGATGGCGATGGTGATGATGATGCTGATGACGATGCTGGTAATGATGCTGATGATGCCAATGATGATGGTGTGGATGTCGATGATGCTGATGATGATGCGGATGCAGACGATGACGACACTACTTCTGGTGTTGATGGTGATGTTAAGGTTGATGTTGAGGTTAACGACGCTGAGGTCGATGATGCTAAGGAGGATGACGTCGACGACGCTGAGTATGCTGATGACGGTGGTGCTGATGCGGATGATGATAATGATGAGGATGATGCAGTAGTTGATGCAATAGTGCTGACACGTATGATGGTGATTGTGATGGTGATTCTGATGGCGATGGTGATGATGATACTGATGACGATGCTGATACTGATTCTGATGATGCCAATGATGATGGTGTGGATGTCGATGATGCTGATGATGATGATGATGCGGATGAAGACGATGATGACACTACTTCTGGTGTCGATGGTGTTGTTAATGTTGATTTTGAGGTCAACGACGCTGAGGTAGATGATGCTAAGGAGGATGACGTCGACGACGCTGAGTATGCTGATGACGGTGATGCTGATGCGGATGATGATAATGATGAGGATGATGCAGTAGTTGATGCAATCGTGCTGATACTTATGATGCTGATGGTGATGGTGATGATGCTGGTGATGAAGATGTTGGTGCTGCGGCTGCTGCTGATGATGGTGGTGATGGTAACGATGATGATGCTGGTGATGTTGATGATGATGATGATGATGATGATGATGATGAGAAAGGAGATGTTGATTATGCTGATGATGTTGATGATGATGAGGCTGTTGATGATGATGATGATGATGGTGGTGGTGGTGATGATGATGATGATGACGATGACGGTACTGCTGATGGTGTTGCTGATGATGCTGCGGATGATGCTGGTGATGATGATGAGGAGGAGGATGAAGCTCGGTTGTGCTTTCTTGGGGCGGTCTTGGCTTCCTGTCAGGCAGCCTTGGGGGTACATTGAGGCCCTCTTGGGTTGTTTTGGGGCCCTCTTACGCCAGCTTGGGGCTCTCTTGGCCGTATGGTGGGTGCCTGGGGGGCGTCGTGGGGCCTTCTTGGCATTAACCTGGGCCGTTGACTGGCCTTCTAAGGCCGTGTTGAGTCCCACGGGAGGCTCTCTTGGGCCGTCTTGGGACCGTCTTGGATGATTCTCGGGCCACCTCGGAGTCCTCTTGGATTGCTTTGACTTGACGGCAGTCCGGACAGGCGAGAGCGCGTTACTCATTCAATAGCCTGTGGGAATCAATGGTTTGGGCTTCTTCGGATCCTGTTGGAGGTCCTTTTGTGGCCCTTTTGGGCCCTCCAGAAGTCGTCTTGGGCCGTGTTGGATCCATAATCGGCCGCCTTGGGGTCATCTTGGGCCGTGCCTGTCAAAAACAATGCGAATTGATCGCGGGGCGCCCGCGTATGATCCAGTTTTGCTGCAACGTGCACTTTGTATTGATCTGTGCCAGGGATCGTGAGCCTGCACGGAGCAGTTTATGTGAGGGCACTTTTGCGCCGCCCCCTCTTTCAAAAAAAACAGTGCCATCTGATTGCGGGCACTCCGCGCATGAGCCAGCTTTTGCCACGCACCGTATTTTGCATCTTGTGCTGACAGGGGTGGTGTGTCTGCGCAGGGCTGACATTCAGAGGGCACCGCTGCCGCCCCTGTCAAAAGATCAGTGCCAAGAGATCATGCGGCGCCCGCGCACAATCCAGATTCTGCCGCACAAAGTGTATTCTGCATCGTGTTTGACATGGGCGGTCGGCCTGCGCAGCGCGGTCGGGCAGTAAGAGGGGCACACCCGCCGTCCCTGCCAAAGACGAAGGCAGAGTGCTCGTGCTTGTTTTTGACAGGGATGACGGGGTTTGCCCGTTTTGTCTCGGGCTTGGCCGCCGGTCGGGCGGGGGAGGGGGTGCGTCTTCATAAGAGGCGTGGAGCAGTGACCAAGCACCCACCCGCCCTCCCACCACATGAATATCACCCGGGTCTCAGCATAGGCAGGGGCCGCTATCGACAACCATCGGGACTCAATGCAGACGCCAGCCAGGTGCGCGACGCCCGCGAGGTGCGTCGCACATGCCAGGTGCGCCACGCGCGCCTGGCTCGCCACATTGGGCAATATGTCGGCCCCCCCCCCACACCATTCTTTGTCAAGGGCCAATGCAGAGTGACGGCGGGGTTGGCAGCATTGTGTATTGTCTTGTGTGTGCGCCCGGAATTTGTTGGCATGGGTTCTCGACATGGACGGTTGGCCTGCACACAGCAGGCGAATGCCGCGCTCCGCCCTGCCGTCGCTGGCAAAGTGCATGTTTTCGTGTTGACGGGGGTGCTGGGCCTGCACTCGCGAGCCAGTATGCTGGTTCCCCTGTCGTATTTGTCAAAAACCAATGCAAAGCGATGGCGGGAAGCGCGCGCGCATGCTCCAGATTCAGGTGCAAAGTGCAGTTCGTCATGTTTTTGACAGAGAGGGGCAGGGTGCATTGCACACAGCATCTAATCTGCCGGTTCCCCTGTCGTCCTTCTCAAAAAACATTGCGAAATGATCGCGCGGCGCCTGCTGCATTGCAATGTGTTCTCGCAAGGGATGGCGGGGGAGTGTTGGCCTTGCACACAGCAGGCAATACGCCAGCATGCCGGCCGTGCCTATGACAAACCATGCAAAGTGATCGCGGGGCGCATGACCCAGCTGTAATTTGGTGCGAGATGTGCGTGGTTTATTTTCGGAAAAGGATGGCTGAGGAGGGGGGCATTTGACTGGGTTTGTCGTCGGTCGGGTGGAGGAGGGGGCTATCTTTTGCAGCAGTGGGAGATCCCTCCCCATTTGGCCCCCAAAGTGGCAGAAGGAGGTCGGTTGGAAGAAGAAACTCTCTTAACCAACTCACGCCCTAAAGGAATGGTGGCATTTAGCTGGCAGTTGAAAGCATTTTGTTTGAAGTTTTGGCCGAGGGGTGCTGACATTTTCTTTTGACTGTCGTACCCACGGGTAGAGTGGCATCCATGAATTAGCAGTTTAATTTGGGGGGTGCGGGGGTCTGAGCGGTATCTTCAGAATATGGAGTGTTAGCGCGTTTCTGTGGGTGAATGTCGAGCAGCTTGCCAGACCGCATGTCGGGAATCAGCGCGGTGCTGCGCCAGTGCATGTGCTCGCCCCTTGAAGCTCGGTGGGTCGCTACCAGGCTGTCCAAGGATTGGAGTTGTTTGTTTATTTGTGTGGCCAGCGTCGCGACGTCCGAATCCTCGCCCAAAACAACGGCAGAACCACGATTGTCAACATCGCCTACACCCTTAGGCTGCACGCCAACAGCATGAGCATGCACAACATATTAGACGATCGCAGAAGCACCATCAACACCAACGTCTCCACCGTCGTGGTAACACGCGTCATCACGAAACGCATTACTCGTTCTCTCTCTCTCTCTCTGTCTCTTCAGCAGATGGGTTGGGGGAATGTAGCAGAGACATGCGTTTTCGAGATAATGCATGATAAGTACATGGGATGCATCTTGCATGATAGGCTGCTTCCCTGGCTGCTACCTTGGTAAACCGCTGACGCTTGTATCGAATCCTGCTCATCCGAGGAGGTGTGCCTCCAGTGCCACCTGGACATGCAGGTCAACCTGCACAAGATGACATGCGATTGCTTTGCGGATTGTCTGCGAGGCCGCCATTGCTCGCATTCTCAAACCGATGTGTCGCGCTCACCTGATAGAACATGGTTTCTGGTTCTCCGTCTCGGGAGTGGAGCTCGCATGGATCGTCACTATCTTTTTTTCGTGCTGTGCAGAAGTCGGCTTGAACTCAATCACGCCGTGGCAACGACGGTGGGCAAAGCAAGATTGGCCATACAAAGAGTTGCCATGCAGTGCGGTCCAGCTTCGACCCCCCCTTCCTGCCCAGCGACGTGCAGATGGCATCAGCTTGAGGGCTGGAGGCGGGATAGCACTCTGCCAGTCCTCCTGGCCGAAGCACGTCTCCTCCACGGCCAGGGGAACTGGGGCTGCTCGCGGCAGGTTCGTGCGCCGGCTGTTGCCCGCCCTCAGAGTCCGGTCGAAGCCAGAGCAGCTGCTCCTGTGGTTGCGGGCAGTACTTATATCCATATCCAGAGCGTCGTGGACTTTTTGGGAAGAGGTGCCGCAACGCCGAGGCGCACCGGATATGGATAAAATCAAGCCTCTTGGGGCCAGATGTTTTATCCATATCCAGTGCGTCTACGGTTTCTGGGGAAGAGAGCCCAAGAATCCAAGACGCACTGGATGTGGATATAACTATGCCCGCAGTGGTGGTGCCCCCTTCCCCCGACAATCAGTCCGCTGCGCCAGTCTTCGCCCCGCCGTCGCCGAATGACAGCAGGCGCGTCACGTCAGACGCCAGCCGGCCAGCAGGTGGCCCGCGGAAGTCGCCTCCTCCTCCTCCTCCCTCTTCCTCCTCCTCCGCCTCCCTCTTCCTCCTCCTCCTCCTCCTCCCCCTCCTCCTCCTCCACCTCCTCCTCCTCCTCCTCCTCCTCCCTCCTCCCTCCTCCTCCTCCCCTCCTCCTCCTCCTCCACCTCCCACGCCCTCTCCCGGCTCCCCAGGGCCGCTGCTCTTCGCTCCTGGATCTTCAGAGGGAGGGGGGGAGGCTTCGTGGTCGGCCCACTCGTTGTGCTCCCGTGGGCGCCGAGGGTGCGAACGGTCAGGCTCGTTGCTCACCCGTCACGCTTTGAACATCGACGCATCTGAATATTCGTTTTCAGCAGAAAGAGTGGTCCTGGAGGTCTTGTGCGAGGTCTTGTGTTGGCTCTGTCTTGTGCGAGGTCTCGGCCACGCTGGCGGGCTCGCACTCGCACATCTGCAGGACAAGCACTTTTCTGCACAAGTCGTCTTGTGCGCGTCTTGTGGTCGACCACTCTTCGCTCGGCCGTTGTTTTTGTTAAGCATAGTATGTACAAGCATAAAGCATATATAGGTATACTCAGGACGGTATTGGCTCCTTGCGCCACACTTCCTGGTCCCTCGATTTCGGCCTGCGGGCGGAATGAGAGGGAGGCAATGTTTACCTATACGCCCACCCTTCGGGTGATACGGAGGTTCGGGGGGGGGGAGGAACCAACGTCTCACTCGATCGGTCTCACTATCGATGTCACTATCGATCTCACTATCGGTCTCGCTCGATCGATCTCACTCGATCGATATCACAATCGATCTCACTCGATCTAATGCATTCGATCGATCTCACAATCGATCTGACTATCGATCTCACAGTCGATCTCACTATCGATCTCATTATCGATCTCACAATCGATCTCACATTCGGTCTAACTATTGGTCTCACTATCGATATCACAATCGATATCACAGTCAACGTCATCATCATCAACATCATCGTCATCAACGTTGTCAACATCAGCATCATCGGGACACCATCATCATCATCATCACCTCATCACCATCATCATCAACATCATCATCACCATCGTCATTATCACCATCGGGACACCATCATCGTCACCGTCATCATCATCACCATCATCAACGCCATACTCATCGGGACACCATCATAATCATCATTCGAACACCACCGTCATCATCATCATCTCACCATCATGATCATGAACAACATCACCAACATAATCATCATCATCATCATCGGGACACCATCAGCATCATCATTAGCAACATCATCATCACCATCAACATCATCATCATAATCATAGGAACACCATCATCATCGTCAACATCATCATCATCAACATCATCATCATCAACATCATCAGGACTCCGTCATCATCAACATCAGCATCATCATCACCATCACTGGGCCACCACCATCTTCATCATCAACAATATCATCATCATCGGGACACCATCACCGTCATCATCATCATTCTCATCATCATGGGGACACCATCATCACCATCATCATCAACAGCATCATCATCAACCTTATCATCATCATCGGGTCACCATCATCATCATCATCATCATCATGATCATCATCATCATCATCATCTTCTCCATCATCATCATCATCATCATCAAATCATCTGTTCATCATCAACACCTTTATGATCACCAACATCATCATCATCGGGGCACCATCATCATCAGCAACATCATCATCGTCAACATCATCATCATCATCATCGGGGCACCATCATCACCACCATCACCATCATCATAATCATCAACATCGTCAACATCATCATCATTACCATTGGGACACCATCATCATCACCACCATCACCATCATCATCATCGTCAACATCATCAACATCATCATCATCACCATCATCATCATCATCATCATCATCATCATCATCATCATCATCATCATCGGGACACCGACGGGACACTGAGCGGACACCAGCGGGACACCGCGCGCCACCGGCCCCCGAGCGGGACACCGGCGGGACACCGCGGGGAACCGGTTGCCAGAAGGGGGATTTTTGGTCCGGCCGCGCCTCAGCTACAGGAGACTTATTTCTCGCCCGCCCACGCAGTTTCGCCTCGCCCGCACGCACGGCACGCACGAACACGAAACCGAAACCGATTTCCCGGTAGGGGGGCTCTCCGTTCCACTTCGATCTCACCCCCTCACCTCTCACGTACGAGCAGCGGTAAATTCCTGCTGTGCGTTTTCGTCCTCGTCGTCATCCTTGTAACGTGTGTTTCCCTCTCCTTGCCTCGTACTTTCGCTCCCTCGTTCTTGCCTCACCCTGCGAGCCCTTCCCCGTCCTCCCCAGTGTTTTTGTTGCGCAGAGGGGCCCCAGGAATCCCTTGCTGGGAGCTTCCTGGGGGCGCCTGGCGGTCTCCTGGGGTCGTCTTGGGGGGCCGCCTGGGCACCGCACTGCGAAAACCGCGGCCTCCCGGAAAATTTGGGGGGCCGTCTTCGGACATTTGGTGGGTGTCTGGGGCCGCTCGGGGCTCTCGCGGGGCCGTTGGGCCACCGTCCTGACCGCTCTGGGCCCGCTGGCTTGGCCCGGTAGTGATGTCCAGGATGCTGGAAATGCCCCTGGACCCTCTGTAAGGGCGCCCAGGGAGGTTCCTGGGGCCAGGGATCCCGTTTTTCCCAACCATCCTGTGGTGTTGGGCCGTCGTTTTGAAGAGACGGTCCCCGCGTTCACTCCTCATCCTCCCGCTGCCCCCTCCCTCCTCCTCTCATCATCATAGTTAATCGTAATCATCATCATCATCATCATCATCATCATCATCATCATCATCATCATCATCATCATCATCATCATCATCATCATCATCATCATCATCATCCTCATTATCATCATCATCATCATCATCATCATCATCATCATCATCATCATCATCATCATCATCAATTATCGTCACCACCCGCTTCAGCACACCACTCACACGCTTCGTGGCCCCATAGGGAGCCCCACGGAAGGTCCAAATGCCAGCGTTCGCATGGGCCCGCCGCACCCATGTTGGTACACCCCTCACATGTTTCGTGGGCTCCCTAGGGAGCCCCACCGAAGTCCCAAATGTCAGCGTTCGCATGCGCCCGCCGTAATAATTGTGGCACACACCTCACACGTTTCGTGGCTTCCCAGGAAGCCCCACGGAAGGCCCAAATGCCAGCGTTCGCATGCGCCCGCCGCACCCATTTTGGTACACCCCTCAGACGCCTCGTTGCTCCGTAGGGAGTCCCACCGAATGCGGTGCATACAACGACGGTGTTCACAACTGCATATGGCTGGGTCCTTCGCCAGGCAATTTTTCTCACCCCCCTGGTTTGGAATGCATCGGAATGTGTACGTGTGTGTGTGTGTGCACGAATTGTTCGGATATCAGAAGGATCGATTTGACTCTCGCCTTCCAGGAATCCAGCGCCTTACGGCACGTCCGCTGCCCCATCGTAGTTTCGAATTGTCTTTCATTATCGGCGCGCTGTGTGCTTATCGTTGTGACGTTTAGGGGCGGACGCGGTTGCCGATCTGATTTTAGGGTGAGCGGTGAGGGGAGCAGACGGATGACGAGGAGGATAAAGGAGAGCATGAGGAAGAGGATTGAGGGCAAGGGAATAATAATGCTAAAGAGCGCAAGGAAGGTGAGGAGGAGGAGGAGGAGGAGCACAAGGAGGATCACGAAGAAAACGACGAGGACGGCAAGAAGGACGTGATCGTCTTCACTAGGACGACGAGAAGAAGGAGGATGACGTGTCCAGTGTCCTGGGCGCCACAGCCTACGTGGCTGCTAGGAGGAGGAGGAGGAGAAGGAGGAGGAGGAAGGGGAGAAGGAGGAGGAGGAGAAGAGGAGGAGGAGGAGAAGGAGGAGCAGAATTTGGAGGAGGAGGAGGAGGAGGAGGAGGCGAGACACTGCACCTTTGATGCAATGCGGGCCGGTGGCCGATGTTGGGCGGCCCCGAGGCGCCCTGAACCAGTCTTAGAACCTGGCCTGACCACCTTGGGACCGTCTCGGAGACGTCGGAGCCGTACAGAGTGCTCATTTCTAATTCGTGTGTTGCACGTGGCCTCCGCCGCCCCTTCGGCGCGCTTCATTTCTAATTCGTGGCCGGAATTGCAAATGACCGGAATTAGAAATGAACGCGCTTGTTAGGCCCCGGAGGCCCCAGGGCAAATGCATTCGAGCGCGCGCCCAAGTCTGGATCTGGGGCGCGCCATCCTCGATCGGGCACGCGTTGACGTGACGCGCAAATCCTGCGTGTCGCGCACACGTGACACGCAAATCGAGGAGGCACCTGTGCCGCTGGGTGCCCTCGTGGCGCCCCAGGAAAGCAGGCGGGTTGGCAGCCCGATCGTCGCCACAGCTCGACGGGGCTGTGGGGGAGGCTCTTGCCCTGTGGTTGGCCAGCCACAGTAGGTGCGGGCCCGCCGTACCACCCCTGAGAGGCCCGATGGGGTTACTCGAAGGGGTCCCCCGACGTGGGGGGCGCGGGAGCTTAAGTCCTTGGGCAGCGGGGCCTCCGCTGCTTCAGGCCGGCGGCCAAGTGGGGGTGGTGCCGGTGGCCGTGTCTCGGGGTGAGAGGCACCTCGCACCGGCGGCGCGGATAACGCCTGGGTCGGGTCCGTGCCGCCGTTCGTGTTGCGAGGTCCGACTGCATGTGAATTCATGCAGGCACCTTGGGCACCTCCCTTCGGGTTGTGTCGCTCAGGTTTTCTGTCCGGGCAAAGTTGCGTATTCAATCGAGGAAAACTCCTCTTCTTCCCTTCTCCTCCTAACTCCGTTCTCTTCTTCCACCGCTCCCCCTGTTTGCATTTTTGTGTTGTTTTCTTATCCTCGGTCATCTCGGCTCGTGCGATGGTTAGTCAATCGTCGCACCTGCGCCCCCTGTCCGCGTCGGCTTCCGATCGTAGTTTTAACGCGCGTAGCTTTCCTGTGACAGCGGTTCAACGACGACTGCCATGTAGTCGTTACCCCAGCCGCGGACGAGATAATCACTGTGCAGAAAGTCAGCTCCGAGCACGCGAAAAAAGCGCAAGGGACCAGCGCAAATGCTAGTGCCGCGGCTAATCTTCCAGCGCCTGTAAGTGCAAGGCGCGACGGACCGCTACCGATCAGGAGAAGCTGAAAGTGGTTCGGCAGGGTACTACACACCACAGGGTCGCCCTCCTACCGGAGACGCGGTGGAGTGCCCATGAGGTCCGCGTCTGGGCCGCCTTGCTTCAGGACAGGCATGTCCTCCTCGCCTCCCTGCCTCCCGAGGCCCCAGAGGGGGCCTGGGCCGGAGGGGTAACCATCATCCTCACAGATGAATGCGCGGACATGACAGCCACCCATTTGGTCGACGGGTGCGTCCTGATGGTTGATGCCGAACCCGGAGGAGGGGCGGCGGAGAGACCCTCCAGCACCTCCGGGAAAACGCACCACCGCCACCCGACGGTGTCCCCACCCATTGGGGCGGTGACATCAACATGCAATGGCGTCACCCAAGGGGGGTGCTGATGACGACGTCGCCACCTGGCCAGCCGGGACAGAGAGTCCCATGTCGACGCAGGCACTCTGCCTGCCATCTACGCGGGCATGTTCAGCGTGCAAGACTGTTGGTGGCTCCCGCTGTCGGATCGCGCCACCGGGTGCTGCGACCCCACCAACGTCCGCTGCACCAAATGACCTGACATACTGTCGGGGCACTTAAGAAGGAACCCGTTTCGCTGGGGAGGGGTTCGGTGTTCCTTGGTTGTTTCAAGGTTTGCCTCGGGTTTTCCAGAGGGCTTCCATAGGAAATCGAGGTTGAACTTATAGGAAAAAGGGGCCTCGTTCCTTATTTAGGGTTCCTCAGGTCAACGCCTCGACTGTATTCACACCCTGGGCGTTCAGGGCGCTCCCCGGCAAGGCGTTGAACGACCTCCGGCGGCGGTTCCTGCGCCCCGACGCTCGCTTCACGATGCCCGCGGTAGACCTCACGGGGCTTCCGGAGCCCACCGACTTGACCGCACTTGCTCCGCCTGGGCCCCTGCCACCAGACCGCCAAGATGGCCTGCACTTAGTGGGCCCTGGAAACGAGAGGGCCGTTTTTTTACCGGTTCCGTTTTGCCGTTTTTGTTGCCGGTTCCGACGCCGTTGTTTTACCAGTTCCGTCGCCGTTCTTTTGACGATTCCCGCTCCGGTTCCAATCCTGGAGCCGTTTTGTTGCCGTTTCCGGTCGCCGTTTTTTTGCCGTTCCCATTTTCAAGGGACTTTTTTTTCGGAAGCGGTGAAAAAGCGGCCCTGCCGTTTCCGGGGCCCCCTAAGGGCTCGCACAACGGGGACGACGTTGACGACGACGAGGCCCCGGAGGCGGACCAGGTGCAGCCACAGGACAGGCCGCCCGTCTTCCCCGCGCTTCTGCTGTATGACAGGCTGGCGCTGCGTGCCGCTCTCCGCACGCGGTGGAAGCGCCGATGTCGACGGGCGACCGGCTGCAGCCGCGGGGCCGCTCTCGCGATGGCTGGACGAGGCTCCGCAAGTCTGCGCCCTCGCCCTCCGGATGCAAGCCTCTGGTTGGGCTCGAAGGCCGATTTCTGACCACATCCACCTGTGGATCCTCGATTCTATGATGGGCCCTCGGGGGTGGAAGTGGGTAGTTTCTCCTTCCCCTGGGGCGGGGAAACTGCCCACCTCCTCCTCTGGAAACCGCTTTTCGCAAGGCACCTCGGGAAGTGGGTGTGGTCAGAAATCGGTCTCCTATGGGTCGGGCCCAGGATCGCCCCAACGGGGCCCAACCACCTGCTCAGTGAAATGGAGGGCGGAACAGGATCAGCAGCGCGCGGCTGAGCTCACCCAGGGAACGCGTGGCGCCAGCGCCACCCGCACACCGCCGGCCCCACGCCTCCGATCGGACAGCTGCAGCTCAATCCAGAGGCCATGGGGACCGCATCTTGTGGCACAGTCGGAGCACCATATGGGGCCCGGGCGCCGAACGCCTCCTTGCGGCCCGCTTCCAGGACCGCCCGCCCTTTCTGCTGCCTGGGGCACCCCAGCCCACATCATGGCGACTGGCCGCTCTCGTACTCACCCTGGCAGGGAGGGATACCGCGCGCGGGTGCACGGACATGTGACTCAGCCCTCCACAAGAGGACAGCGCAACACAGGAGGCAGGCCAGGCGGGACCGCCCCCAGCCCAGGGAAGGGGGGGGCTCGACCCCCCCCCAGGCCTGCGCCAGCGTGGGCGTGAGCGTGGGCGTGGGCGCGGTCGCGGGCGTGTGCGTGGGCGTGGGTGGGGCGTGGGCGCGGGCGTGGGCGTGGGCGTGCGTGTTAGCGTGGGCCTGGGCGTGGGCGTGGGCGCGGGTGTGGGCGTGGGCGTGCGTGTTAGTGTGGGCGAGGGGGTGGGCGATGGGGGTGGGCGTGGGCGTGGGCCTCGGCGTGGTCGTGGCGTGGGCGTGGGCGTGGGCGCGGGCGTAGGCGTGTGCCTGGGCGTGGGTGTGGGCGTGGGCGTGGGTGTGGGCGTGGGCGTGCGTGTGAGCGTGGGCGTGGGCGTGGGCATGGGCGTGGGCGTGGGCGCGGGCGTGGGCGCGGGCGTGGGCGTGCATGTGAGTGAGCGTTGGCGTGGGCGTGCGCGCGGGCGCGGGTGTGGGCGTGGGCCTGGGCATGGGTATGGGCGTGGGCGTGGGCGTGGGTGTGGGTATGGGCGTCGGTGTAGGCGTGGGTTTGGGTGTGGGCTTGGGCGTGAGCGTGGGCGTGGGCGTGGGCCTGGGCCTGGGCAAGGGCGCGGGAGTGAGCGTGGGCGTGGGCCTGGGCGTGGGCCTGAGCAAGGGCGCGGGAGTTGGCGTGGGCGTGGGCGCGTGGGCGTGGGCGTTGGCGTGGGCGTGGTCAACGGCGTGGGCGTGGGCGCGGGCGTGGGCGTGGGCGTCGGATTGGGCGTGGGCGTAGGCGTCGGCGTCGGCGTGGGCGTGGGTGTGAGCGCAGGCGTGTGGGCGCGGGTGTGAGCGTGGGCGAGCGTGTGAGCATTGGCGTGGGCGTGGGCGTGGGCGCGGGCGTGGGCGTGGGCCTGGGCGTGGGTGTGGGCGTGAGCGACGGGCGTTGGCGTGCGTGTGAGCGTGGGCGTGGGTGTGGGCGTCGGCGCTGCCAGCCGCCGCCGCCGCCGCCGCCGCCGCCGCCGCTGGCGCCGGCGCGCTGGGGCCAGCGCCCGGGAGGGGGTGGGGGGTGGGGGGTTCGGGGAGGGAGGGGGGGAAGGTGGGAGGGGAGTCCCCCTGGTTATGTCCGACAGCGCTGAATTGCGGAGGGGCCCCCCTGTAAAAAGAGCGAACTCCCCAGGGGTCCGTTCCCGCTCCCGTTCGCATTCCCGTTTCCGCTCTCTCTCTCTCTTGTTCTCTTTCTTTCTTTCTTTCTCTCTCTCTCTTTATCTCTCTTTTGCTCTCTCGCCCTCTCTCTCTCTCTCTCCCCCTCCCGCTTTCTCTCTCTCTCTCTCTCTCTCTCCTTTCTCTCTTTCGCCTCCTCTCTCTCTCTCTCTCTCCCCCTCCCGCTCTCTCTCTCTCTCTCTTTCTCTCGCGTCCAGGGGGTCCCTGGGACCGAGATCGAAGAATCGCATATCCCCAAATCTTGCAAAAACCATAAGAACATCAAACATTGCAGGTCCCTTCCACCCTGAAAGGGGGATCAAGAGGGGGGCGCCAGAAAGGCCGCGGACGCTTAGAGGCTTGTTGGGCTCTCCTGGGAGGCCTCGCGGGGGCCTCTTAGAAACATGTTTCAGGTTTCTTGGGGCCCGTTGGGGGCTTCTTGGGTGCGTCAGGGGGGATGTCTTGGGGGTCTCTTGGGAGTTCGCTGGCGGTCTCGGAAGGTATCTGTCAGACGCCTACGGCGAATCATCGCCGTAGGCGAAGGGGATAGCGAGGGGGAAGGGAATTGGGAAGGGGGAAGAGGATTGGGAAGGGCAGAGGGGGGGGGGAAGGGGATGGGGAGAGAGAGAGAGAGAGAGAGAAAAGGTGAGGTGATCTGAGAGTGGAAGGGAAGGAGGGGGCAAAGGGGGAGGATGACGTTGTTGACGATGCTGACGTTGTTGACCATGACGATGGCGATGGCGATGACGATGATGATGCTGATGATGATGATGGTGATGCAGTGATGGTGGTGATGATGATGACTGATGATTAAGACGATGTTTGATGATGATGACTGCGATCTTGGTGGTTGTTGTAGTGATCCTGATGATGATGGTGATGATGATGCTAATGATGCTAATGATGATGATGATGATGATGATGATGATGATGATGATGATGAGGATGATGATGATGATGGCGGTGATGGTGATGATGATGATACTGGCGATGATGGCGATGATGATGATGGCGATGATGATGCTGCTGATGACGATGATGATGGCGATGATGATGTTGCTGCTGATGATGATCATGATGACGATGATCCTTCTCCCTCCTCCTCACTCCTCCCTCCGTCCCTCCTTCTCTCTCCTCCTCCCTCCTTCCTCCCTCCCTCCCTCCTTCTCTCTCCTTCTCCCTCCTCCCTCCCTCTGTCCCTCCCTCCCTCCTTCTCCCTCATCCCTTCTCCCTCCCTCCCTCCTCCCCCTTCTATCTTCTGGAAGTGGCACGGGCGGCGGAAACGGGAACGGGAACGTGAACGGACCCCTGGGGCGTTCGCGCGCCTTTACGGGCCCCCCCCCGTCCAAACGCTCCGCCGAATGTTCCCAAGGCAAGTGCCCGTGAAACACGCTCCCCCCTGTTTGGGTAGCTATGATGCTGGTCGACCCTCATGATGTCGTTGCTAGCTCGGCGACACAACCCGTTCATTATCGTCGCGTCCTTCTGCCGGGGCGCCATTCGGCAGCTCCCCTCCTTGCACCGAGCGCTCTGGTATGACATCGTGCCACCAATTGCGGCCGAGGCGTCCCTTGGCGAGGACACGGAGCCCTGCCAAGAGATCGTAGGCCTCCTGGACCCCGCATCCACGAAGCTCCACCCCGATCTGGCGTGGCGAGCTGGGTATGCCTGGACGCAGATGCCCGCACTCGGACGATGCAGGTGCTGCAGGCCCAAGCTGTGCCTGAGCTGCTCCGCGTGGGCGACGCACCATCACCCGCGTCGCCAGGGCGCCAGCAAGGTCATGGACTGGCTCCTCGTCCTCCTTCAGACTCAACAAGGGGGGGGAAGACCCTGCTGGAGGACGGGAGGTCGACCGTCTGGGGCCCTCAACGCCAGGCACGTGCTCACTGGCTCCAACCTCCTGGCCAGGTCCCAGAACCGCGGCCCGCTCGGCGAGTGGGTGCAGCTCAGCGGCCCAGAGCGCAACGACCCCGTCGGACGGGGCCGCTGCTGGCACTCCACCGGCCGGGCCGGGGGCCCCGTCCATCGCAGTGGCACCACGCACGATGCCGAGGAGGAGGAGGAGGAGGAGGAGGAGGAGGAGGGAGGAGGAGGGAAGAGGGAGGAGGGAGGAGGGAGGAGGGAGGAGGAGGAGGAGGAGGGGGAGGGGAGGAGGAGGAGGGGAGGAGGAGGAGGAGGAGGAGGAGGAGGAGGAGGGAGGAGGAGGGAGCGCCACGTGAAACGCGTCAGGGCCCCCCTTCGAAACGCCGCTCGAACGCCCGGGCCGGCTGCTTGCGTTCGCCTTTCTCACTCGCGCCTCACGTTTGTTCGCGCCGCCCGCTGTTTGTTTCGAAGCCGCCCGCGCGCGGCGTTCAGGCGTGCCGACTTGTTGCGTCCCTTCGCAAGGGAGCTAATTCGTTTTGACGGTGTCCCATGTCGTGCTCCGCTGGCTGAAGTTGCTGGCGTGTCGTGGGACTGGTGTGCGTGTGCGTGTTCGAGCGAGAGAGAGAGAGTTATTCCTTTGTGGTTCGTTCCGTCGTCGTTCCTCCTCTTCCTCTCCCCCTTCTGTTATTCGTCTCCCGTCGCCCGTCTCTCCCGACTCGCTTCCTTCAGGTGTTCGATCATGGATCCCTTGTTGAACGCAACCACCCAGCTTTCTCGCCGAAGACTGCTGGGAACCGCCGAAGACTGTCAGAAGACCGCCGAAGACCACCAGGGAACCCCGAATAACGCCAGAATACCGCCGAATACCGCCAGAAGACCGCGGGAAAACCGCCGAAGACCGCCCCGAAAACCGCCCGAGGCAGATTGGTAACAAGGGGTCCATAATCGAACGCGTAGCTTCTCCTCCCCCTCCTCCTCCTCCTCCTCCTCCTCCTCCTCCTCCTCGTCCTCGTCCTCCTCCTCCTATCCCGTCTTCGTCTCCTCCTCCTCCTCCTCCCTCCTCCTCTCCTCCTCCTCCTCTCCTCCTCCTCCTTCTCCACCTCCTCCTCCTCCTCCTCCTCCTCCTCCTCCTCCTCCTTCCCCCTCCTTCTCCTCCTCCTCCTCCTCCTCCTCCTCTCTCCACCTCCTCCTCCTCCTCCTCCTCCTCCTCCTCTTCCTCCTCCTCCCCTCTCCTCCTCCTCCTCCTCCTCCTCCTCCTCCTCCTCCTCATTCTTCTCCGCCTCCTCCATCTCCTCCTCCTCCTCCTCTTCCTCCTCTGATCGCCAAGAGGATGCCCCTGTCCATTGTTTCAGCTGTAACCCGCACATTGTTCAATGCCTGGCCCACGAGTCGGAGGCCACATGGAGGTAGCCAGGTGTGCGGTCTAGGTGACTGCATCGCTCACTATTTGAGGTGTCCTCATGTTTCTGCTTGTCTCTCATTCGTCCTCCTTTCCCTCGTCC